CATTCGACCTCTCTCTCTTGGAATACCCCATGATGCACCCCGCTTGCTCTTACAAAAAAGTCAAATATGCGGAAACTTCAACGGGTTCAAAATAGAGCACTCTATTGTGTGCTCTAATAGAGCACACAATAGAGTTGTAACAGGTGTGACACTCGCTGACAGAATTCGGACTGACAGTCTCCGATTAAAGATAGAACCATTGAATAGACGCTTCCACAACCTCTCAGCAATGCAGCTATACACAATGAAGAGCACCTACCTACCAAATCGTGACGATTCCATTAGGGGTATATAACACTGCTAACTATGAGACACAAGACCAGCCCCACAAGACAAGGAGAATGTCACTACAACAAAAAGTCAGGTGGTACATCCACAACAGGAATTACCCGCTGCCCAGGATACTAAGTAACCTACCAGGTGATGAAGAATGGAACCCTCCTGATCCATTATACACTTAGCATTCACGAACTATGAACTAGCAAGCCAACATCTGCCATCATTACCTCTACCAACCAGGACAAAATCATTGTGTACATCAACTATAAGCTTCTCTACAAACCCCACATCTGCAATCAAATCACCACAGCACTGCTCTCCCGGTGCAGCTGCAAGACTGGAACACCGTCCTCACGCGGCAACTTCTCTCCTCCTGTTGTGCAGCAGCTACAGCTCGCCGCCATTGGCATCCAGCAATCATCCATCATCATAATATAATCGCTATCATCTATGAGGGCAGTTGTTACGACCTTGGGTTCCTCATTGGAAACCAGAGGTCAAATTGAGCTCTAAAATAATTTACTTACATTATTTGGTGCGCTTGTTAAAATAAATAAATAATAAATGTTTATTCAGGTAAGGTACATACATACAAGAGATTTTACAATCGATTTATAGATAGAGCTAGTACATACAATGCCTAAAGCCACTATTACGCAAAGCGTTTCGGGCAGGAACGCCAGACGTTCCTTGCCAGACGTAAGACGAATCTTTTTTCTCACAGAGTATTCAGACTCTTGAGCTTGTTGTGGATTAAGTATAACAGTGTAGTAATTATTAACTATCCTTAGAACTAGTAAAGTAACGAAGGCCGGTGAAGACTTGTATTGTTTGTAACTGTACGATCAATTAGGCTCTTCCCGGCAACCACAACAACAACTCGGGAGCTTTGGGACTGGACGCTGGAGCGTTCTTCTCTGTTCAGACGGTGTGGTGTAAAGATCTACCTGTGGGACACTGCCTTGATTCTCCTCCTCATTCTCCCTTTCCCTTACCTTTCCTGTAACTACAAAGATAAGTACCTTCTGTGTAACCGTGCATACTTCTGGAATTGTGAGACTTGTGTAGATATTGTGTAGTATAAGCCAGTGTTTTGGGTATCTCTAAGTGTTGTGTTTTGTTAGGGTACCACGTAGGCTCACTACCCCTAAGCTGCCTCAACCTTTCAAGTTCTTCACTAGTAGACTTTACCCTAGCTTGTCCTAATTGTAAAACCTTGTATCCTGCCTATGTGGACCAAGGCTTTTAAAGTAAGATAGTGTGGTAAAGTAATTATTGTTATTGATATTTAATGTATATGGGGGGTTGTTAAGAGGGTTTAATAAATAAGTTAGTTTTAAAGGAGTATCCATTCTTCCTGTGTAGAGGAGCAGTGATCAAACCTCTAGGCTGACGTATTGACCTTAAGCCATTTACTTAATATTGTTTATGTTCTTATTGGGGGCCGGGCCTATCTGATCTCCCCTAACTTTGATACATCCTGATTCTAACTGCTGGCCCTTCTCTTTAATACTCCATCCCCCCCCCCCCATAATAGCCGATAAATTTATAACAGCAGTCTTGCCTCGGCCATCATTTTATGTGTCAACTCATATCACTCCATAATCACTCACAAAGTCAAAGTGGTTGGGCCACAACACTGTCCTTACCCACTCTCCATCTAATCACCCAATCCTCCTTCATGTATTCCTAAATTCTTTCCTTGCCTCTTTCATCCCCTACCAGCTCTGTCGGAAAACCCGACACCATTTACTAATATTAAATACAAAATATAATATTGCTGCTCTTGTGTAAATAACAAGGTAACCCATAGAAAATGGAGCCTATAGTAGAATTTTCCATCAACAGAAAACGGAATATCATTGCCACGTTGCTACTAAATTTACCAGCTATTCTGCTGGGAATTATTCTTAATACAGAAGTCTTTGGACTGTAATCATCGTAAAACCCTCTTACTTGAATTAACTTAATTATTAGTACCAAATAGAGTAAATGTGACCTTTCTACCAGTTTTTGACATCTGGAGAAGAGAGCCAGGGCGTGAGTGGAGGAGAGTAGGTCAGCCTTGTTGATCAACAAGTTCACTGGAGCGAGTCTAGCTCCTATAATTCTCCCTGGGACAGCTGTGTCACGAGACTAAAGTGCTTCTGTTATCGACACGCAACTATGTCTACCATAAGGTAAGTGTATTACTGAAACCCGTTTATTATCTTTACATTCCTGGCCAGTTATGTTAGGTATATATAGGGCGAGCCGGTTAGCACACACGGCAGCGACCAACCCAGAGTGAGTAATATGCGATACCCGAACACCGAAATCAAGGCCTATCAAGGCCTTTGACTTTAGGAGTTTTAAGCAAGAGGTGTCAGAAAAGTTATCACAGGGATAACTGGCTTGTGGCGGCCAAGCGTTCATAGCGACGTCGCTTTTTTATCCTTCCATATCGGCTCTTCCTATCATTGTGAAGCAGAATTCACCAAGCGTTGGATTGTTCACCCACCAATAGGGAACGTGAGCTGGGTTTAGACCGTCGTGAGACAGGTTAGTTTTACGCTACTGTTGTATTTCACAGGTATCTCTATCAATATACCAATATTTTCTCTGATATCGCTGCCATATATATATAGGATTCCTGCTATTATTGAAAGTGCCCTTTGACAGGATCAATTGAAGAGGAAGCAGAACAGTTACTTGGTACACAAGTACATGGTGTTGATGCCAGCCTCAAACGTGAGGACTATTTGGTGTGATCATCCTTGTTACTAACTGGTGGACCAGGCCTACCTACTTTTGTAGGTAAAAGTCCTGGTCCACTTTTTGTAGATAAGGCATCCCTATTTTAATTACTAATATATGTAGTTTAATACTGTAGCTTCGATTGACTGCCTATATAAACAATGTAAACCCCAATAGTGTGTAAGGAGACCGATTTGTGAGAATTTGCAGAAATATTGTCCACTTAAACTAACACACAATTTGCTGTCGAAATATATAAATTAACGTAAATATAAATTCCATATAAATTAATAAATATAAATCTCAGAGGTCGGTTAACCACAAGCTATATGGGCATTTTCAAACATCAGATTAAAATTAAGCTAGATTTTGCTAAATTTTGACTCTGTTAGGATAGAATTTGAAAGCTTACAGAAGATGTATGAACACTAAGATGTAAACAACTCACTTCAAACATCAGGTGCAAAGTGTTCACTGGCTACAACTTGTAGATGTAAAACACCTGCACCAAGCATCAAGTGCAAAGTGTGCACCAGATTTGTTCATTTGTGGATTTGTCCCTTGAAGATTTGTTCATTTACTTTCTACAACCATCAGATGCAACGTGTTAACTAGATTCAACATGTAGATGTAAACTACTCAATTATCACTATCAGGTGCAAAGTGTTCACGAGCTACATTATGTAGATGTAAAGTTCTCTCTTCGACAATTAAGGGCAAATTGTTCACTTGCAACAACAGGTAGATGTGAACTTCTCACTACAACCATCAGGTGCAAAGTGTTCACTGTCTACAACACGTAGATGTAAACTACTCACTACAAACATCAGGTGCAGGGTGTTCACTAACTACATCATGTATATGTAGACTAGATACTACAACCATGAGGTGAAAGTGTTCATTGGCTACAACATGTAGATGTATACTTCTCACTCTAACCTATTTTTTTTATTTTTTTTGGTGACTAACGCTTTTTACATTTTAGGTGTCGCAATTTGTGACTTGTTTATGAGATTGACTTTATATTACATGATGTTTTATACTCAAATTCATACTTGTAATGGTTAGTCAGATAAACCTTTGCTATATCCTGTTTACTCACTTTTCATCTCATCCCTACAGTAGTTTCTCATTCAGACAGATCACCCTCCCCCCCCCTCGGGTACTCTTTTACTTTGGTCTGTCTCCGGGCTATTATGTCCAGCTTTACAGTACGGACTTAGGAGGACCTATCTTTATCGGACTTTCGTTCATTTCGCATCTAGGATATCACTGTACGTTTGGGACATGTACAGCAGTTCTCTTCACAGTTTTGACAATCTCCACACTCCTAACCTCTCGTTCAAAGTCTCTAATTAATTACCCAGGTAGGGAGTTTACGTTCTTTTCCAGAGCGCCAAGAATTGTAACTGAGTAATTAATTACCAAGTTTTCAGTAGGACACCTGTTGCCCTTATCCTCGTCATTTATAGAGTACCGGGCTTACACATCCCAACATTCTTTTGTTCTACCTCGAAACAGTTGTTTCACAGTCTACGACTTATTAATCAATTAATCTCATATTCCTTAAATTGTCATTGTAATTTTACCACACAGGATAGTTACGAGTTGCCAGTCCTATCACGTCATCTTTTGCCAATCTATTAACCTCACATTTTGGTTCACTTACAAAAGGATAGTCACACTGATATCTTGTTTTGTACTTATCCACCATGTTCCGTCTATCAACCTTCAGGTCCAACCCAGAGGAGGAAGTTAGCAGCCTCATTCGGGCCACCAAAGCAGAGTTGTTGACAATGATCAAAGAGTTTCATCTCTCACTCCTCCCCCCCCTCCACTCCTCCATGGAGCCAACAAAACCAAACTCCATAATATGATATTCGATCACCTGCCAGATAACGATATTATCACTTCAATAGGAACAATATCTAATTGCCGATAAGACTGCGCTGGCCGTTGTAAAGCTGAAACTCGAATTAACCCTCATGGAACTTCAACGTCAGCTAGAACAAGCTGCCCTCCAGAGAGAACAAGCTGCCCTCCAGAGAGAACAAGCTGCCCTCCAGAGAGAACAAGCTGCCCTCCAGAGAGAACAAGCTGCCCTCCAGAGAGAACAAGCTGCCCTCCAGAGAGAACAAGCTGCCCTCCAGAGAGAACAAGCTGCCCTCCAGAGAGAACAAGCTGCCCTCCAGAGAGAACAAGCTGCCCTCCAGAGAGAACAAGCTGCCCTCCAGAGAGAACAAGCTGCCCTCCAGAGAGAACAAGCTGCCCTCCAGAGAGAACAAGCTGCCCTCCAGAGAGAACAAGCTGCCCTCCAGAGAGAACAAGCTGCCCTCCAACGTGGACGTGAGAGGGAACATGCTGACCTCCAACGTGGACGTGAGAGGGAACATGCTGACCAACAACGTGGACGTGAGAGGGAACAAGCTGACCTCCAACGTGGACGTGAGAGGGAACATGCTGACCTCCAACGTGGACGTGAGAGGGAACATGCTGACCTCCAACGTGGACGTGAGAGGGAACAAGCTGACCTCCAACGTGGACGTGAGAGGGAACATGCTGACCTCCAACGTGGACGTGAGAGGGAACATGCTGACCTCCAACGTGGACGTGAGAGGGAACATGCTGACCTCCAACGTGGACGTGAGAGGGAACATGCTGACCTCCAACGTGGACGTGAGAGGGAACATGCTGACCAACAACGAGACCGAGAGAATGACCAACTCCGGCTCCAAGAACAACAAACAGCCTTGGAACGTCAACGCGAACGGGTGAGACTTCAGCTACAAGAACAAGAACCCACCATCGCTCTCCGTTTGGAGTAAGAGAAAGCTGCCGCCGCTCCTGAGCTCCGACGACAGGAACTTGACCTTAGAAACTGCCCACGTCACTTAATGCCAGGAAGCAGGAGCTAAACTCCCGGTACGTTTTAATATGTCGCACTGTGTCAGATTGATGCCACCTTTTGTAGAAACTGAGGTGGATGCATTTTTAACCTCATTTGAGGCTTTAGCTAACCAACTCAGCTGGCCTCAAACTCAGTGGTCGATACTCCTCCGATCCCATTTGACAGGTAGAGCTGCCTTGACCCTCAGTTCTCTTGTCACCGAGACTGATTACCACGTGCTGAAACAAGCCGTGCTTGATGCTTATCATTAGTGAGTTGAGAACTACAGATGTTGCTTTCGAGATTATATTAAGCCCAGTGCTATCACCTATTTTCAGCTTGCACGGAACAAAACTTAGATATATAGAACAGGTATTCTGAGAGAGAACTCTATCAACATCAGAGGCCTGAGACTGTTCAACACGCTTCCACTACACATAAGGGGCATAACTGGCCGACCCCTCACAGTGTTCAAGAGAGAACTGGATAAGCACCTCCAAAGGATACCTGATCTACCAGGCTGTGATTCGAACGTCAGGCTGTGAGCAGCCGCGTCCAACAGCCTGGTTGACCAGTCCAGCAAATAGGAGGCCTGGTCGACGACCGGGCCGCGAGGACGCTGAGCCCCAGAAGCACCTCAAGGTAACCTCAAGGTATAATAAAGTGACTGGAGTCAGCCCAGATCATTACCTTTGCAGACCTGATCAACCTCATCCTTAAGGAAGAGTTCCTTTCCCGTGTGCCAAACCTCCATACGTCTTTACCTTTCACACAAAGGAGAGACCAACCTTAATAAGTGTGTGCAATTGGCGGATACATATAGTTTAATCCACAGAACTTCCGAATCGTATCCCGGTAAACCATCTCGGTTGAGCCCTGTTAAAGTGAGTTCTGCTAATGTGAACCACTCTCTCTACTGTCGCTAATATAAGGTCTATGGGCACACCATAGAAAAGTGCACCATCCCCCCCCCCATTGTAAAACTAGCAACGAATCACATGTCTAAACCTCAACCTCCTAAGCCTCATAAGCCTGTTATGCATACTAATGTTCCAAATTCTGACCTTTCTCTATTCCGCAGAACCCTGTGTCCTGAAATTGTCTCTACCAACGGTGGAGATTCTGAGAGAAAAGTCAAATTGAACATCTTGAGGGATGAACATCTTCTGCTCTCCAAAGTATATTCCTGAAAGCTGCCGTACCCAAGGTCACCTACACTGGAGAAACCGTCCTCATCACCGACCTCATTGTAACCACTCCATACCCGCTCACAAGAGTCCACCTGGATTGTTTCTTCATACGTGGAGAAGTCCAAGTCGCCATCAGGAAGAAACCTTTCCCCGTGCCAGGAATTCAACTTTTCCTGGGCAACGATTTGACTGAACAACAAGATTCCACGAACCTCATTATATGTATCAAACCCCAGGTAAGTGACTCCTCTGCAGAAGAAGACCCTGTAATGAAGCATGTCGCAGAGGAGGAACCGATGACTGACGAAATGGAGGACATTTCCCAGCGAGCCCTCATGACTACTCATGCACATGCCACTCAACCACAACCAGTAGCTCCATCTGTTCCTCAAGATCTGCAAGGCCTCCCACAGACTCTCAGCTTGTTGGAGCTCCGTAAGTTGCAGCAGGCTGACCTATCATTAACCCCCTTGTACTTTCAGGCTCAAACTCAGACTGATTCCATCCCTGGTTATTTTTTAAATGATAATCAAATTCTATATCGCAGATTCAGACCCAGTAAGTTAAAAGAGGAAGATGATTGGGCTAATGTTGATCAGTTGGTAGTTCCTACATCCTTAAGAAAGGACCTTATTGATTTGGCCCATGGTCCAGTGTGCCATTATGGCTTAAATAAAACTTACAATGCTTACAGGATTATTACTGGCCAGGTATGGCTCGTGACGTGTAGACCTTTGTGAACACCTGCCATACATGTCAACTGGCAGGTAAGCCTAACACTGCAATACCCAAAGCGCCACTAATTCCTATTCCTGTGTCTTCAGAGGCGTTCATCAAACTCGTCATCAACTGCGTTGGGTCTCTACCCCCGGACCAGCTCCAGCATCCTCAACATCATTACTATCATGTGTTCTACCACCAGGTTCCCTATAGCAGTTCCCACCATTACTGCTGCTACAGTTGTTAAGCACCTCTTGAAGATCTTCACACAGTACGGATTCCCCAAGGAAATTCAGAACGATTGTGGGACCAACTTCACCAGTGACTTGTTTAAGAAAACCCTTAAAGAGTTTAACATCACCCAGGAACTGATCTAGCCCCTATCGTCCTGCTTCACAGGGATCACTAGAACGTAATTATCAAACTCTGAAATCGCTTTTAAGAAACTGTTATATTAGCACAGAGAAGGATTGGGATAAGGAACTAAACCTTATTATGTGCATTTTCAGAAGTCTTCCTAATGAGTCCCATGGAGCATCTCCTTATGAGATCCCATCCTTGTCACCAGCCAACGGCCATACCACGTTGAGCAAACCGCTTCTCGTCCAATAAGCGAAGTTAAGGAACATTGGGTTTGATTAATACTTTGATGGGTGACCGCCTGGGAACACCAAATGCTGTTGGTAATAACTTTTAGGCCTGGTCGACGACCGGGCCGTGGGGACGCTAAGCCCCGGAAGCACCTCAAGGTAAGGAGACGCTCTATGGTCGTAAGTGCCATACCCCTATAAAAGCATTTAAAGATTCCTTGATCTCTAACACCTTCAGTGATTCTCTTAATGTGTCTCATTTTCTTAAAAACTTGAGACACATCTTTGAAAGAGTATATATATTTATTTGCCAGTGCTAATTTGTCAACATCTCAGAATAAAATGAAAGCACATTTTGATCAACATACTAAAATAAGAAAATTCAATATTGGAGACTTCATTTTGGCCTACTTTCCTATCCCAAGCTCTCCCTTCCAAAGTAAATTTTCAGGTCCATACCACATCAAGAATGTCGGAACAATAATAACTACTTTCTAGAGACACCAGACCAGCGGCGTAAGACACAACTCTGCCACGTCAATCTTCTCAAGTAGTACTAAGGTAATCCTACAACTGTACTGATGTCCGTATTCACATTCACGAATACTTATACTCACAGTGATACCTACCCTGCTTCTCCTCCTGACTGCAGTGATTCCAACCCATTGATCTCTAATTCTGAAATCATGAAAGATTCCTAAATATCTGCAGGATTTCAACAACGGAGCTTCTCTTGTTTACCTCTTTTTGACTCATATTACTTTGTTCCAAGACATTCCGCAGGAGTGTACTGTAGTGCGACACGACATCAAGCAACTTCCCGACACGATGCCAATCCGTCAACCATACTACCGCATCTCTCCTCAGAAGAGAGAAGCTATGTTCGCCGAAGTGCAATACCTCCGCAACAATGGGCTGGCCACACCTTGTAAGTCCCCCTGGGCCTCACCCTGTATATTGGTGTCCAAGCCACACAGCAAGGTAAAACTCTGTTCCGACTATCGTAAGCTAAAGACTGTCACGATAAAGGATTCCTACGCCTTGCCTCGCATCGACGATATTCTTGATGCTATTGGCAACACCAAATATCTCTCACAGATAGACCTGTTAAAAGGGTACCTGACTAAACGACTACCAGATCAGCTTGACAGAGCATGCTAAGAACATCTCTGCTTTCTCCACTCCTTTTGCCCTGTTCAGGTATGAGCGATTTCCCTTTGGACTCTGTAATTCCTCGGCTACCTTCCAGAGCTGTCAACATCGTTATCCAAATCCTTGATGATACCTCCGCCTACCTGGGTGACATCGTTGTAGCAACCAACACCTGGAACGACCACCTACACCAGCAACAGCGGTTGTTCCTGAAGCTCCTCCAGGCCGGCCACACTATTAATCTGGGCAAGTCAACATTTTCCAAAGGTACAGTGTGCTATCTGGGTCATATAATAGGAAGTGGAAGCATAGCATTTCTTTGCGTCACCTACAAGCCATTCACCAGTACCCCCAGCCTATTCATGCAAGCAGCTCATGCGCTTTCTAGGATTAGAATCATACTATCGTCGATTTTGCAGGAATTTCAGTTCAGTGGCTATTCCTCTCATCAACCTGACCAGCCCCAAGCAGATATATAATTGATCAAAGTCACATACCATTGCTTTTGAACAATTAAAAGAATTACTCTGTACTAATACTATTCTCGCCTCGCCAGACATAAAGAAACCCTTCGTCCTCAATGTCGACGCCAGCAGCACCGGCTTCGGGGGTGTCTTGATGCAGCAGCATAGAGATGAAATCTTGCCAGTCAGCTGTTATCATCCCATCACAATCTTCTCGGATCACAACCCCCTTCGGTTCTTGCAGCAGGCCCAGTTCTGCAACTAACGCTTACTTCGCTGGGCCTTGTACCTGCAGAACTACAACATCAACATCTTCTTCATCAAGGACTCGGACAACGTCGTCGTAGACGCACTCTCCCGAGTACACGAAGTGGATCCTCACACTTCCAATCTCCAATCCGCATCAGCATCTCAGGCGATAGGAAGAGGCTTCGCGGAGGAGCTGTTACGGTTATCCCCTGCATAGCAGTGGATTTTGACTCTTCTTACTGCCCTCTACACCAGTATGCTACTCATCCACCAGCCAACATCAAGAACTGCCAGTAATACGTACAGAAACGTTTTGACTATTGGCTTCCCCACCCCCAGCCATCCCACGAGAGTCGCCCGCCCGAGGCTTGCCGGCTCACACTTCACCACCAGCTAACAACCTTTACTCTGCCGGCTCATCGTTCCAGACCCCACTACAAGCCGGCCTGACGTCATCACTGGTAAGCGCCTGCCGGTGGCATAGAGCCTCTCACATCTTCTAGTGCTCATTTGGGTCTCGTGCATCTTCCCTCATTCGACGTGCCTACTACATGTGACGGAGGTTTATCAGAG